CAAATGATTGGCATTGCAGTTAAAGTTTTCAAGAACAAAGTTGACTGGAAAGCAAGAAACCGGGCGCAGGTTCTACAAAAGAAAAGCAAGTGTGTTGGCAGAGAATTTACGATAAAATCAATTGAACCAAGTCGAGCTTCTCGGCTTGACGGACGAACTCTCTGCCTCTGAGTAGAGAGGAACCCGGACGAGGCTCCGCCGAAGGGCAGAGTCTCGTTCGGGGACGTTGACCAACCCGATCCCGTTTGTACGGGGTTCTACGGGCATTTTTTAGCCGAGCCTACGGGCTCGGAAAACCCACGTTAAACTCGGCCTTGTGCCACATGCAACCCTCGTGGGAGGGTGGCTAGATACCGAATTTACGATAAAATCGACATTTTTCCTTGTTTAAGAGAATACATCAGGTTACTTTGGCTCTTAGCCCCCAAAACCTTTTTTAAGAATATCTGTTAATAAGTTATTGTTAATATATAATATCCCTATTCTTTTAATGCCTGCTTGTTCTGATTTGCAAGTTTATCATGGATTCTTTGCTTAATTCTCCCAACAATTGATCACCTGAGCAAATATATCTACCGTATAGGTAGTGCCCCAAACATAAGGTATGCTACCAGTGGCCCAAAACTTAGGCCAACTTGTATATTAAGTTAGGTAGGTTGTCCTTCGATTCCAGGCTGGAGGCGCAGTATATGGAACAATGGGGACACTGAAATTTTGTTGTCGTAATCACTCTTGACGATGACCTGTGGCGTTGATCTCTGACAGCGGTGAGCCTCTGCTGTCAAGCATCCTCGAAGATGATAGCAGAATCATGGATTGTGATTCGCTGAACCTGGTCGATCAATGGTGCACTCCTCTAGTTCTTTGGATTCGAGGTTGCACCCCTGGAGATTTGCTTTCACGGTGTCTTTATACCGCTTCTTTGGGCGGCCTTGCTTTCTCTTGCCGTGCAGGACCTCTCCGTACAGCAGACATCTTGGCAAACGGTACTCCACCATGCGGATGACATGCTCCACCCATCGGAGTTGGGCCTTAATGAGCATGGACCTAACCCTTGTGCTGTGAGCACGATCCATGAACTCAAGGTTGGTAACGCGGTCCTGCCAGCGAATTCTATGGAACCGAGAGCTTGCATATGGAAGTTCTCCAGCTTCTTGTTAGGTAGGTAACCTTTGCCAAAACGATATAAGGTCACACAACCCAACTGTATATTGAGACACTAACCGTAATATCTTTCTATATGCGTTGTATAGCGAACAACCTACAATCAACACTGGTAGGTAGCGTATATTGTATCGGTATAATTTATTGAACATTTCAAATACGTCAGGTCTTCTGATAAATACATTATAGGCAACATTGACTACTATTAAATATTAATATCGTAGATTACACATAATACAATGTTGCTTCTTGACAGCATTGCTACGTATCGTATGTTATTGTAAACTCAGTATCACTCAGTATCATTCATCCGCCATTTGCATCACTGATGTAAGCAAACAAATAGTGACACCGCCATCTTATGTATGAGCGGTTGGATGCGATATGTGCCGTAGCTTTAATGTAATACTGAACAGAGTTATACAATTTCCTCAATACTGCTTCTGATATGCAATATATATATATATATGGTTATCTCATATACATACAAGCAGGCCGATATCATTTTTATATACGACCGCACGAATAGTAATTGACGTGAGGCTGCACGGCTATATCAGATTGCGTTTCCAGGAGGAAACTAGCCGAATCATCCAAACTTTGCTGCTTTTTATCGTCTTGTTGCTGAGACTGGATCCTTAGCACCAAAAGCTATGGATCGATGAAGACTGAAACCGGCTTTTACGCCTTACCCCGAAGAGCATATTCTACAGGCTGTCGAGGACTAACTAGGTATCAGCACACGTCATTTGGTCCTAGCATGTTTTACAACCTATAGTACCGCATCGATTGTAGTTCAAGTGCAGATCCTTTGCATTAATATGAATCTATTTTTGGGGTGTATGATGAAATTTGTTTGGCCTTGAAAAATATTGTGTCATCCGTGATTACATCAGATTCTTATCACGCCCAGAAACTATTGTCTCGAGAATCGTACGAAAATTGTAAGGCCGCACGGACACACTAACAATCTTTACCAGTGACCAAATTAAAGTACTACAGACTGGATACTTTTAAGGTATGCTATATGTATCGTTAAGTGCTCAATATCAGAAAATGTGCGTATATATATATAAAAGTGGACATTAAATTCAAGACCGATTGTGGACAGTCTGTTTCTTGCTTGAAACACAAAATTTCGACCATTGGTGTGTTGTGTCAATAGTTATTGAAATGCGTTAATGAAATCAATAGATTTATTTTACCCTAACATTGGTATATCTACGAAACTATACATACTTTAAATTTCTTATTTATCGATAAACTTATATCTTCCCAAAATAAGTCAAGATTATCTACGAGGTAAAGTGCATAACAAGGAACTGCGTGAATTACTATGAAAGCTCGATTTTTTTTTAAAATATATTGGAATAATCTAGAACTTTCACTTAGAGCAACCCATTGACAACGGATATATTAGGTTGGTGCAAAAATAATGACGTAATAATGTCGTTTTTTAACGTATTTTTAACGTCAAAAAACAACATTATTACGTCATTATTTTTGCACCAACCTAATAAATTGATTTCCGTAAATACAGAAAAATCGAAATTACATATTAGCGACACCAAAAACACAAAATCTAGGAAGTGTTTTAATAGGGGTCAATGATGTCAACACCCAATTCCTAATTGGATGGCGAAAATGTCTTCCAAAATTTAAGCAAAATATTCAGAAACAGAAAAAATTCGTTAGAATCAAAGAAAACATAACTCAACTGTTTTCTAATATTAGTCCTGACATATGACAGTGAGTGTTGGACAATATCATCACAGGTGAAAAAGATATATAGTGACACTAGAAATGGGATACTACTGTTGGATGCTGACAATACGCTGGAATGAACGCGTGTTTAATGAAGAAGTTTTATAGAAATAGCAAGCCACAAACGGAAAGGGACAAATGAAATTTCTGTGGAATATAATAAGGAAGGAGGGCTTGGAAAATTTGACACAATCAATGACAATATTGCGGGCAAAAGGGACAGAAATTATGAAAGCATAACCTACCAACTAAGCTAATAAAAATGGTTGGTATAGCGGGGTTAAGAGAGATAGCAAACTTTACTAAGAACTAAAAACGATAATAAAATGGGGAGAGATGTCGTCTGAAAAAACACGGCACATAGAATCTGTCTCTTTATCTATCTATCTATCTATCTATATATATATATATATATATATATATATATATATATATATATATATAATCACCTGTCTATCTTTTTTAGGTCCTGACATGGGACAATTACGCTTTCTCCAAGTGACAACAGTTACCAAGGAAACATGTCCCTTTGCAATGAACGGCAGGCAATGAATGACGAAAGCGATGACGTCAAACCTAATACCGCTACTGATTGGCTGACGCCATATTTTACTGTCTTAGACCATGAATACACCTGTTGAATCGTCTCTCTCTACCCACCCACTACTTCCTTCTTGTCTTTTTCTTTTTTTCCTTTTATGCCCATTCGTTTTTGTTTTTTTTTTCTGTTCAAATCGTTAATCTGTTTTTCTTTGTTTATCATAGCCTCGTTTTCAACTATTTTTCTTTTACTTCTTAATGTCCGTTTTATTTGTAAATTTCTTAATTTTATATTGCGAGGGGGCTTTTTATGTTACGCATCTCCTCTGGTCGTCGTCCCTTCACGCGTTCTTTCCCGTGATCTGTTTATTTATAGAAGAATTTATGTAATATGAATTTTCTTGGTAATACAGACGTACTTTTTTTCTTGCGTTTTGCCTTCATTCAATACTACGTATTTTTTTTATTGATTCTTTTATTTCTGCTTTTTTCATTTCTTTTTTTTAAGTGCTTATTTTCTTTTTGCCTTTACTTTTTAATTGTTTCTTTTCATTCTCTTGCTAGTTTTGTTGTCTTTTCTCCCTTTTCTTTTTTCATTAATTTCTACCTGTACATTTTTATTTATTTCTTCTTCTCTTCCTGTGATTTGATTTTTTTTATTCTTTCGTCAATTATTCCATTTTTATTCTTTCTTTTCATTCTGTTTTTTTCTTTCTTTCTTTTCTTTAATTCTTTACTTTCTCTTTTATCTTATTGTTTCTTTTCTCTTCTTTAATTCTTTTCTTTACAATTTTTCTTTTTCTTTCGGTCCTTTCGTTTTTTAATTTTTTTCTTTGTCATGGTATTTGTTTCTTATTCTTTCTTTTTTACACTTTCTTTTTTATTCTTTCTTTTTTTACACTTCCTTTATTATTTTCTTTTATATTGTTTCTTTTTAGTGTTTCTTTTTATTCTTTCTTTTTTACACCTTCTTTTTCATGTGTTTTACACTTTGTTTTTTATTGTTTCTTTTTATTGTTTCTTTTTTATTGTTTCTTTTTTATTGTTTCTTTTTCAAACTGTCTTTTTCACACGTTCTTTTTTTGTCCTTTCTTTTTTCATTTTATTTTTAGTGTTTCTTTTTTATTGTTTTAATGTTTTGCACTTTCTTTTTTTTGTTTCTTTTTACACTTTTTCCTACACTTTTTTGTGTTTCTTTTTTACACGTTCTTTTTTATTGTTTCTTTTTGGCACTTTCTCTTTTACTCTTTCTATTTGTACATTCTTTTTTTATTGTTATATTCGATTATTTCTTATTTAATGTTTATTTTCGTTCTCTTTGTATTTTTCGTTCTTTCTTTTCGCTCTCAATTTTGATTTTTTTTCTATTTTGCTATTTCTTTTCATTTCCCTCTTTCTTTTTATTGTTTCTTATTTTTGTGTTCATCCATCTTTACTGTTACTTTTTTTAGCTTCTTCCTTGTGCGTTGTTTCTTTTCTTTCTGTTCAGTTTATTGTTTCTTTAATTTAGTTATCGTTTATAGTATATTTTTATGCTTTTTTTTCTTTTTTCTCTCTTTTGTTTTCATTGGATATTTTTGTTTTATTTTTGGCTTCTTTGTTCTCATTGTTTCATTCTTTTTTGTTTGTTTTCTTTCTATTCTATTTTTTTATTTTTTATTTTTCTGTTAAATATTTTATTCTTTTGTATTGTTTCTTTTTTCACCTTTTTCTTTGATGCCTTACGTTTTGTTAGGTCATTATTGTTTCTTTTTTCTTTGTACTTTACTTAGTCTTTTTTATACTACATATTTATTGTTTCTCTGTGTACTTTTATTGATTCTCTTTTCCATCTTTTATATTGTTTTTTTTTTTTTGTCTGTTTCTTTTCCGCAGTTTATTTCCTTCTTTTTACGCTTTGTTGTATTGTTTCTTTTTTTTCTAATTTTCCTTCCTTCTTTATTGTTAGTTTTATTTCGGTTCTCTGATATTTCTTTACTTTCGGTTCTTTTCATTGTTTCTTTTCTTTTTTTCTTTTTTATTTTTTTAGTCCTTTGGTTTTTGTTAATTCTTTTTTCTTTTTGTCTTCTGTTCTTTTCCTTTCCTTTCTCCTCTTTACAAAAGGTGTTGTAAGATGCAATGAGCGGGTTGTGTTATGGATAACAGCTCGGAATCAAAGCTCAGAGTGCTGGGTTTCAGTTCCAGTCGGGTTCGTTAAATGCACTCACGTGCAAATACCTTTGGGAATTGTATAAATCGACGTCTTTTCCACCAACTATGAGAAAATTATTAAGACGTGTATCAATAAATAATTATTTCAACGAAATTCTTTTAATCTAAAAAAAAAATGTTTTTTGGCTTCAGATAAACTGCCAAAGGTTAACAAGCCGTAAAACAAATCAACTAAATTTCTACCCCTTCTGTTTATAAACAGCTTCTTTTCTTTTTGGTCTTCCTTTCTTCTTTGCTTTCTTCTAACTCTTTCTTTCATTTCTTTCATTCCTTACTCCTTTTCTTTCATTCCTTACTTCTTCTCTTTTGTTTCTTTTATTCCTTACACTTTTTGTTTTCATTTCTGCCATGCCTCACACTTTTTCTTTCATTTCTTTCATTCTTTACTATTTTCTTTCATTCCTATAATTTTTCACTCTTTTTTTTTCATTTCTTTCATTCATCACTCGTTTTCTTTCATTTCTGCCATGTCTCACTTTTTTCTTTCATTTCTTTAATTCCGCATTCTTTTTCTGCAATTGCTTTCATTCCTCACTCTTTTCCTTTTATTTCTTTCATTTCTCACTCTTTTTCTCTTATTTTTATCATTCCTCACTCTTTTTCTTCTCTTTTCTTATATTCCACACTCTTTGTCTTTCATTTTTCATTCCTCACTCTTTTTTTCGTTTCTTTCATTTCTCAATTTTTTTCTTTTATTTCTTTCATTCTTCAATCTTTTTCTATATTTCTCCCTTAATTTTGGTTCCATATTTTTATTTAATTTTCATTTTTGGTTTATTCTCGTTTATTTTTTTTTCAATCTTCGTTTCCTTCCTTGCTACTTCGTGTCATTTTCTCTTTTCTCATTATCCTTTCCTTCTCTCTTTATATATCTTTTCCGTTTTCTCTAATTTTGGTATATTATTTTTTTATGTTTTTTCCCTATTTCTTTTCTCCTATTAATGTTCACATTTCACTTTCTTTACGGAACAAGGAAATCGTTACACCGTTGCAAAATTTCTAATTACTGCAGATTGGCATTTTGCAAATTTTGAGCATAAAAACAGTCTCTATGACTCACAAACATATTGCAATGGACGGGCAGGGCGAATTAATGAATTCAGTTCAGGCTTTTAAGATTTTACAGAATTAATAATTCATTGGGAGTTTGATGAAATAACAATTCTTTAAATAATGGAAGTACAAAGGGATGGTTTTAACTATGATTAGATAGATAGGTAAATACAGTCTGAGATAGATAGATAGATAGATAGATAGATAGATAGATAGATATGAAAAGCCTGTGACAGATAGATAGATAGATAGATAGATAGATAGATAGATAGATAGATAGATAGATAGATAGATAGATAAATTGAATGAACAGAGAAATACATAAAGAAAGAAAGAAATTGATATTGATGACTAGAATGAAAGACAAAGATAGAGAGTGAGATGAACAAAATTATATAGATATAGATAGACAGAAATATGAATATAGATAGATATAGTATGAGATATAGATAGATAGATAGATAGATAGATAGATAGATAGATAGATAGATAGATAGAAGCAAGTGATATCTTATTGAATCTGATTTGAAATTTTGATATAGGCAATTAATATTCACCACTAAAATAACTCTATCGACAAGAGAATTGATTGTGTTGAAAAATAAATAATTGTTATGAAAAATAAATTCAATTCTCATCATGTGTCTGAGAAGTTATTGATTTACCTATGTAAATGTTTAGAATAATAAGTCTATATGGAGGCGTCCACACCTAACTGACACAGATATACTGTCGTCAATACGGGTGACAACTTGCGCAAAATATAATGAATATTTGAATATTAAACAGTTGGATCTTATTTACCATGCAAAACAATTCTGACACGATCAGGCCTTAAACAACCGAAATCTAAAGAAAAGATTTTTTAAAAAAAAAGGGTCCCTTCCCCATATTGCGACAGGAAGAACGTTCATTAATTTCCTGCTTTACAAGAAGTGGATCAGACCACGTGTGAGCTGTAACTGACTCATTCTCAATTTCCAGCTCTGACAGAGAACAAAATCGGAGCCTTGTGTGTGATGAATTGTTTCCCACTCTACAACTACTTTCTAGCGCTATTTTTATGGCAGATGTTCTTTTGAACGACATTTTTTGTTTCCGTCAGTCCAGACTTTCACAGCCGCCAGGTCAGGTACACTGAATCGACTGATGATAATGCCCTGCGAATTCCATCATTAAGGAAGAACATTTCGAAACTGACTCCCACGAGGATGCTTCCCCGATTACTACAATCCTAACCTATTCACGTCCAACGCCAGTTACTATCTATCCTACATATCCTCATAATATGTGCGCCTTAAAACAATATTTACTATCTCTCTCTTCTTCAATGTGGCGGAGGCCCGGTGGAGTAATGGATAGCGACTCGGATTGAGGAATCGGAGAGCCGAGTTCGAATTCCCGTCAAATTACGTGCTAATACCCTTGGGAAAGGTATGAATCTCCATCGTCTCCCCTCAGCTATGGGTAAATAGTAGGACAGACCGGGTTCTATAGCCTTGGACGGCAACTGGTCTACCGCAGAAAGAAATGACAACGGAACTATAGCGGGAAAAAATCTTCCTCGTCAGTCAGGTATCGAACCATACAGGATCACCTAAGAGTGTATCACGCATAGCACATAACTGACTGACTATCTTCAGTAGCTCTTGTTTTGAATGAACATTATAACAGGCGTGATTTTTTTTCATTGAAAACACTCTCTTGCTTATATTTCCGGTAATTAATGTTGATTGGCATGAATAGAAATTAATTAGATCATTTTTGTCAACACTAGCCATAGGATTTTACCTCAGAACCCTTAGAATATGTAAACCTGAATATCTAAAGGATGAAAAGAACTACGTTGAAAAACATTTAGGCTTCTTCACTGCTCACATCAATTCATCCTCGACACTAAAAAACGAGCATAAAAATATACAAATCCAAAACTGTCGAAAGCATGTCTACGATCAACAACACAAAATACCTAATTATATCCTCTAACAGTCAATGCTCAACATTTGAAAATAAATTAGTTATCCCCAATACTAGGGTCTTTACGACCAGCTACAAGAAAATCGGGAATATAATTAGGAACAAAAATAAATCGAACACCAATTAAAATCAAATAAAGAGCTTGCAATGTAAAAACGCTTAAATTGGCGAGACATCTCGTAAGGTAAAAACCCGTTTGTACAAGCAAAAGGGAGTCTGCATTGAGACAACCCTTTAAACTCGGTAGTAATAGACAGGGACAAAACAGGTAATAAAAATACTACCTTAAATAAAAAAAAAACATTTTTTACGTCGAAAATACTTTGAGGGAAACATGATAAATATTTATTAACTATAAACACACGTTAAAAAAAACTATTTTACATCACCATGCTACATTAGATCCATTCTTAAAGAATCTAACGTATGTTTGTCTACTACGATAGTTGTTTGCGTGGGAACGTCCCAGAATCAACATGCGGACAGTCACCAATGGTAAATATTGTCTACTAGACACACACACACACACACACACACACACACACACACACACACACACATACATACATACATACATACAAGAATGTATATTGACATCTGAGTTCCACAAAAGATAAAGTGGATTTCTTATGCATTTGCATACATTGGGTAATGTTTGCGTTTTGTTTTCGGTTGAGCTTGCAGTCCGTTAATTTTGATTTTTGCTTTGAAGGGACGATTTATCTCTCCTTGAATTCAGAACACCATAATGCTGTTTAAAATCCAAATAATCATGAAGCCTGCAAAATCAATGAAAATTAAACAATATAAAAAAAAAATAAAAATACCAGAATTTCATATTCTCTAAATAACCTTTCTCTGAAGAAAGATTTATAAGATTAATAAAGATTTCTTATTTGTGCTTTGTTCTTTCATTCTGTTGGATTACAATATTTCATTCGAATTCATCTTATATAAATTTCACGGCCCCGGTTTTGCTCTCAAAAAAAGTCGCCTGGAAGACCTCAAATATCATGACATTCCGGGAGATAGAAATCTTTAGAAATCCTCTGCAATCTTGTGTGCCGTAGAGAAGACATTATTTTGTGAAACTCAATGAATAAAAACTATAGAGATTTGCCTAAACAACACCGAAATAATTGTTTTAAATTCAATTACATTGGTCTTTTTGTGAACGTTTAAAATCTGTTAGATTGATAAAGATTTCTTATTTATACTTTATTCTTTCATTCTGTTGGACTGTAACATTTGATGTGAATTCATCATATATAAATTTCACGGTTGCCAATTTAGCTCTTTAAAAAATCGCCTGGAAAACCTCGAATATTTCAAACTTCCGTATGATGGAAAACTGTAATCTTCTGCAACATTGTGTGCCGTATAAAAGCCATTATTTTGGAGGATGTCATTTGTGAAACTCAGTGAATAAAACTGTAGACATTTGCCTAAACAACACCGAAATAATTGTTTTAATATCAATTACATTGGTCTTATTTTCAACCTTTAAAATCTGTTAATTTGATAAAGATTATTTATCTTATTTCTGCTTTATGCTATCATTTTGTCTGATTTCAATCCATTTTTGATCCGTGTTTGATTCGAAGTCAACTCATATAATTCATGTACGATTATGTGAGCGATTCAAACATTAGCATGAGACAGATCTTTGAATTTGTCACGAATCTGAATATTAAACCTATATTAAATCTTTCCTTGTTCGTTGATTTTCACTTGAGAAACCATTCTTCTTACTCATAACTACCTTAACATATCAAAATGAATTACTCAAGGCCGTTTTGCATATTTTTGCCCCGAGCGTGCACAGTTGTTGTAAGAGCGGAATATTTTTATATACAGGATGACCCCGATATACCTCCCACATTTTAAACTTTCACCTGTGTAATTAGGCAAGCGCCAATCATGTCTTCATCTAGCTAATGTCTTATGATATTTCTTTTTCAGATACAATCAGGTACCACCATGCCTTAGGCTGGTGAACACTGTTAATATGGCATCGAATTCTGGACATTCTCCTCAAAGAGGAAGAATAGACTTGAAGCAACCGAAATGTGGTTCTACAGAAGGATACTGGGATGACATGGGACTGAACATGTGAGCAGCAACAACGTTTTAGAGAAAATGGAATCAAAAAGGAAACTTATACTTAATATCAGGAAGAGGCAGTTGAAATTTCTGGAGAGACGTAATGAGGAAGGAGAGCTTGGAGAATCTGATACTCATAGGACAAATTGAGGGAAATGGTTTAAGCAAACGGTTTGTGCAAAAGGTTCTGGGAGAAATAACAAAAAGACAAACCCTATTAAGAAATAGAAAGGACAGGAAAATGTGGGTGGCCCTGATCGCTAACATTTCCCTATTTTTTATCATCACTTACCTGGGTAATGTCGAATAACGAAACGCGTCGGCAAGAACTAACTGTTTTACAATTGTCATTTTTGTCTAAATTTATCTGTCTTAAGGATCATTCTAAGAAATTTAACAGTATCATCGACATGGAAAATCAAAAACAAAGTCTTGGTGATAGACAAAACAACGATATCCAGAAAGAGGCTTACATAAGAGTGTCTTTTTAAATATTTTTGGGTTTAATGAAACTACACATTTCGCGTTTATTTATCATCAATTGTCTTGAGAAAATCGAATGACGAAACTTATTGGCAAGAACTACAAACTATTTTCCAATTGTCTTTTTTTAGCCAATTTTGTCTTATCTTCAGAATTCTTCTGAAATAATATATATATATATATATATATATATATATATATATATATATATATATATATATTCCTGGATATATATATATATATATATATGTCTCATTGAATAAATTACAGACATTATGTCTGCTAAGTTTTAATATAAAATCCTTTCATATTCACGAATAACCTTCCGTGTATTGATGTTAAAGTTATTCGTGAGTATAAACGGATTTTATTAAAAATTAGCAGACATCATATCTGTAATTTATTCAATCAGACATGTCTAAAAGAGAATTTGCTGTCTAAATACCCAAATATATATATATATATATATATATATATATATATATATATATATATATATATATATATATATATATATATATATATATATATATATATATATATATATATAATTTTTTAAACGCTATCTATCTCTGAAGCAAACCTGTCATGAGTGAGAAAATCCCTACTAATGATGACGTCTACATTACTTTCTTTTGGTTGTGAAATATTGTTAGGTTACTTAATATGTAAACCACTTACATTGAGTAACATAGAGTAACACTTACAAGAGTTCTTAAGAGTGTGGCTATCACAACTTGCCAAAATATAAATCTGCGTCAAGGAACTTTTTTTTAAATATCTCCTTTCCGGAATGATATACTATTTTATCAATTCAACATGCATAAATATGGATTTAAACAAAATTTAAATAAAAGTTTTAAATTCAAAACCTTCCATTATTTAAAATAAATAGATACATAAATTAATTTCTCAGACTAAAATAAAATATATAATAATTGCATTAGAAAACAACAAGAAGAAAAATAACAACATTTGCTCACTTTTTCTTAATTAGACACTGAATTATATCATTTAGAATCAACCATATTTGGCGAAGATTCCAGTTAGCCTGAAAAATATTTAAAAGCGTTCCTAAATTAAAAAAAATTAAATAACGACATTTGCAAACTTATTGCAAAATAAAACCCTTACATTTCCCATAACATCCATTAGAGGATGATATTTTTTTCTTTCGTTCTTATTCTTATTGTGTATATATATATATATATATATATATATATATATATATATATATATGTGTGTGTGTGTGTGTGTGTGTGTGTGTGTGTGTGTGTGTGTGTATAATTTTTTAAACGCTATCTATCTCTGAAGCAAACCTGTCATGAGTGAGAAAATCCCTACCAATGATGACGTCTACATTACTTTCTTTTGGTTGTGAAATATTGTTTACATATATATATTTATATATATTGTGTGTGTTTAGGCAGCATTTTTTCATTGATGCATGTTTCATTAAATAATGTAGACAAGTTTTGTCTATTTATTTTATGTAAATACTTTTCATATCGTCTGATAAGCTTAAATAACATTATCATTAAAAGACGAAAGAAAATCACCATATTGATACATATTTTTTTAATCCTATCTAAGCCATTATCAAAGGTAGCAATTACATTTTCGCTTCCAGCGTCTCGTATGCACGAGTTTGCCGTTGCTAGAAAATCTTCCACGTAAACAAAAACAGAGTATCATTATTGTTTTGTCCGTGTATTGGTTAATATATTGTAATGTAATTGTCATCTTTGATAATGGCTTATGTAAGCCGAAATCTAGGATAGGATTAAAAAAATATGTATCAATATTGGATTTTCTTAAAAATGATAATGTTATTTAAGCTTATCAGACGATATGAAAAGAATTTACATAAAATAAATAGACAAAACTTGTTTATATTTATTTAATGAAACTTATATATATATATATATATATATATATATATATATATATATATACATACAAATATATTTCTTTTGTTAAATTACAACATATTTGTTTGCATTTTGCGTTTATATATATATATATATATATATATATATATATATATATATTATTATTATTATTATTATTATTAGTGTATTTAGGCAGCATTTTTTTTTTGATGAATTTTTCAGTAAATGATATAGACAAGTTTTGTCTATTTATTTTATGTAAACATTAAATGTATTAAAAGATGAAAGCACATCACCATATTGATACTAATTTTTTTTTAATCCTATCTAATCTTTTGGCTTACAAAGATGACAATTACATTACAATATATTAAACAATACACGGACATGGCAATAATGATAGTCTGTTTTCGTTTGCATGAACAGACTATCAATATTGTTTTGTCCGTGTATTATCTAAGATATTGTAATGTAATTAACATCTTTGATAAAGGCTTATGTAAGCCGAAAGCTTAGATAGGATTAAAATAATATGTATCAATATGGTGATTTGCTTTCATCTTTTAATCATAATGTTATTAAGCTTATCAGACGATATGAAAAGAATTTACATAAAATAAATAGACAAAACTTGCCTATATTATTTAATGAAACTTGTATCAATATATATATATATATATATATATTAATCGTTTCATCCCAGGCAGAAATGCCATGCAGGGGTTTAGCTGGAGTGAAAGTGAGGGAAAAGTCTAAGTATATATTAATCGGTTATAGTATAGGATTACGGAAAGGACAAAAGATGTTCGTGATTAAATAAGGTAAGTAATGAGGATTAAGGTTGTATTTACATGTTTGAAAGTTATATTTATCAAGAAACAAGAAAGCAAGTAAACCGAATGTAGTTCCACAGTCGGGAAGTACGCGAAAAGAGACTATTGGAGGTAAAAAATGCTTAAATTTATGTAGTCGGGGCATCAGGGGAAACAATCGTCAGAGCAACTACTATGAAAATATTTGTAGAAAAGACAAAGGGAAGCCATATCATGTTGGGTGAAAAAAAATGACTGAAATCGAGATTCCAGGTCAGGATCGATTACTTTGCAGATCCCGCTTAGGATTTTGTCAAGAACATCGAGATCAATAACAGGAGCACAAGACCAGATATGACAACAGTATTCAATACACGGACCAATGATAGATTTATAAATCTGCAAGATGGACTCTGGCGAGAAAAACCTTCTGGCAGAACACAGTGACCCAAACATCCTTGCAGTAGATGCAGCTATTGAATCGATGTAGTTGCTCCAATCCTCACTTGAAAACATGAGGCCAAGAAAGCGCAGTCTGTTGTTCGGAAGAAGGCTAGAAAAGTTCTCTGCCGTCGTTAAATTTGTGCAGTTTGATTTTGGAAGCGTTAAAATTTATGAGCCATTTCATCCCCAGTTATATATATATATATTTGTGTGTGTGTGTGTGTGTGTGTGTTTCACAACAAAATAAAAATTTACCTCATATGGTGGAGATAGATCTATTTCGGTTTTATAGCGGGGTTAAATAAGACCGACGTAATTCGCATTGGTTGAAAGAGATCGACCCACCCTGCTAGATGAGTTAATTTTGGATATTGTTATATGCTTTGTTATAATAAATACATTGAGCTCTTTTGTGGGTGAGTTTTAATATTTGATATTATGAGGATCCACTTGTATGATATACCAACGGATTTATTAACTGTACTATACATACACACACACACACACACACACATATATATATATATATATATTAGTACTTTGTGACTGGTAGGGGTATTTCCAACGAAGATATTAATCCAGGGATTTTCTATTAAAAGATATCGGCCTGGTGAGATGAATATATAAGAGACATACACGAAAAAAATTGAAACCGAAATGAATCTTTATGGTTTTTCTTGATTATTATATATATATATATATATATATATATATATATATATTTGTGTGTGTGTGTGTATGTATGTATGTATGTGTATATATATATATATATATATGTATGTATATATATATATCTGCACACACACACACACACACACACACACACACACACATATATATATATATATATATATATATATATATATATATATATATATATATGCAGAGAGAGAACATCATGAAAATCTTGAATGTTGATGTTCACTCCTGAGAAGAGTTAGGTGAAAATAGTTCTGACTGAATGTGCTCCATCAAAATAAGTTTCCACGTAAAAGAGATAAAACCTGATTCAATCAATCATATTGGAAATCTATGACAAAGTGTAAAAAATTTTCGTGCGACCTGTTTCTTCCTTTAGGACTTCAAGCGGCTTTTTTTTTATTTTAATGCGATTACACATACCCACGATGGAGAGGGGACAATGAAAATTTTAAATTTAATTTATTTTTTGAAATGTATATAATGGGTTTGTAATCTAGCCAATTTCATTTAGATTATTTTTTTCTTTTCGTTTATGTTTCCATTAAAGTAGCAAGTTCAAATTTAATGGCAATTCAGTGTGTTGTTTTGTAAAATATGTATATTTGTATTTATGTAATCTTTTATTTGAATTTCTTGATATATCTTCGATATATTCCTTGTCGCAATTACTGCGTGTTATAGACTCTGCACTATTCCACACAACCAGGGGAACCGACAGTCTTGGCTATCAAACAATTTCTGCAACTTCATCATCCCTTATATCTGGCCACCTAACTCCCCACGTTGCAACCCCCTTGATTATTATATGTGGGGCACAGTTGAGAGAGAGAGAGAGAGAGAGAGAGAGAGAGAGAGAGACCCCAAAAAAAAGATGAATTGAAGGCAAGGATTATGTTGGTAAATATATCTGTTAAAATAAGATGTCAGTGTTATTTTCATTTTTACATAATTTAGACGACAATTTATCCATTGCACCCTGCATATTGGTTTGGGGATGAGAAATTGGAAAAAAAGTTTGTGTGCGACGCGTTTCGTGGCTACGTTGGTGCCACTTAACATGCGCACGAACGAGGGATGCTGAAAAATTTACTTTTTGAGTAGGTGGGCGTATACAATGTAGCTGTTTTCATTTAGATACTTTTTACTTTGACTTAATCAGTTTTGTCGCTGGATATCTCATACTATGATAATGGAATATCTACCAGGAATGAGGAAATGTTGTAAGAGACAAGGCGCAAATTTACTATGAATGACCTTGCCATCAATCTCTAAAGGTTTTCGTCTTCGTGAATTGTCAGTGAATAGATAGATAGATAGATAGATAGATAGATAGATAGAAAGAGAGAAATAAAGAAAGAAAGAAAGAAAAATACACGAATATGAATAAAAGAAATAGATAGATAGATAGATAGATAGAAAGAAAGAAAGAAAGAAAGAAAGAAAAAATAAGATAGACAGATAGTTAGATAGATAGAAAGAGAGAAAGAAAGAAAAATACACGAATATGAATAAAAGAAATAGATAGATAGAAAGTAAGAAAGAAATAAGAGAGATAGATAGATAGATAGATAGATAGAAAGTAAGAAAAAATAAATAGATAGATAGATAGAAAGATAGAAAAAATAAGATAGATAGATAGATAGATAGATAGAAAGAGAGAAAGAAAGAAAGAAAGAAAAATACACGAATATGAATAAAAGAGATAGATAGATAGATAGATAGATAGATAGATAGATAGATAAACAGAATAATATAGGTAAATTCTAACGCTTTATGTAGATACAAAAATAGCTGATTTTTATATAGGTTCTGTTTTTTGGCAATGGCTTGCGAGATCAGTATATGTACCAATTAATCTCAAGATAACATCAAGAATGTCTAAATTTCTTCACTTTATTTTCAGTATTTTATAACACTGTATGTGACACGATAGGAGGAAATGAAATCGTATATTTTCGGCAGTATATTGATTCGGAATTCTTTTTACGTGTTGCCTCGCTAAAAAGTCAAACTTTCGTCCGCCATTTTCTTTCTCATTGGCGAAATATTGGCTGCCTGAAGAGATAAAGGCGGTCAGTATTGTGCTTGAGCGTTTTCTTAGGCCGTATGAGGCCTGTTAAATTCTACGAACGGATTTTTTTTTTTTGGCTTCTGTTATCGGCATTCCTAGCTTGAAAAATATTGATGCAATCGTCATTAAAAAAAAAAAAAAAAAAGAAATAACGTAGAAGGAAAATGTTATGAAGTCGAGGAATCTCTGTAATTGTTGTCAGGTCAACAAATGGAACTTCGAGTAGCATTCGCAGAGCGGTGTTCTGCTTTTGTGCTATTATCTCATTTACATACAATACCCAACATCCCTGAACCGAAATGGCCTCATGCCCTTCGTTGATTTTTTGACTTCTAATTATTCTTGAGAATTGTCTTTCTTGATTTCTTCTGATTGGGGACCTTGCTTTTAAGTTCATTTTCTTCTTCCGACCCCTCGTCAGATTTCTGATCATAATCATCCATAGATTGTTTAGTTTCATTGTTGGATTTATTAGTGACTTCCTCTCACTTCATGTTCTTTACCTTCAGATTTTTCCTCTATTTCTATATTCTTAGGTTCCATTCTGCTTCTGAATTAATCCGCATTAGCCAGTATATTTTGTCCATTTTTTCGTTAGTATTGTGTGCTTTCTCTATTACAAAGTTCGCCTTCTTTGGATTAGGTACTTTGTCGTTTTTATACCTAACACTTTCAATCGTTGAAAATGACATTGTTATGGTATCTATAATCTGCCTTCCCATTAATGCAGAGGGACTTTCTTGGAATTTCCCTATGTCTTATCAGTAATCTTGTTAAGTAACTCTATATTATCATTAGATTGGGAAAATGCTTTTAGTCCCATTTTCAGAGTCTGCACCATTCCTTCTACGATTAAATTCGATTTTGGGTGGTGTTGTATACGGGACACGTCCAATACGCTTTCGCCACGAGCACAAACTTTCCTGGGAAAATTCTAGCGCGTTATCTGAGTCCAAAGTTTTCGGCACTCCGTTCCTTGAAAAGATTGTTCTTAATATTTGTTTTACAGTGATGGCTTTTCTGTCAGCAACCTTAATTACTTCGGGCCATCCTGAAAATGAGACCACTAAAATATCCCCATTCATTTAATATGGTCAGGATCTATATGTACCCGAGGCCATGGTTTTGTATCGTTTAGCCACGTTTGATGTTTTACAGTTTAATCATAATTATCGCAGGGCTGGATATTTGTTTTTCTTTCTTTCATGTTCTTTCTCGCAATATTTACACTTAATTAGGATTTTAGTTCTGTTAGATGTTTCTACATTGTTTTTAGAATTATTACATTCATTAATTAATTCTAATTGCTGCAATAATTCTACACTTGCTTCTAAATTCATGTCATCAACTTGTAGCTGTTCTAGGATTTTATGTTTGTATATAACGTCATACATACCTTCAATTAATCTTTTATAGAAATTTCTTTCGAACCCAAATTTTCAAATTCACAATATCTTCTTTCAATCTCTGCAAATATTACATTAGAGTTTCATTTGGGTTCTGTCTATTTTCCAGAAATCTTTTCTTTCTGCAATAACTAGTTTTTTTTTGTTTTTTGTTTTTGTTTTTTTTTGATCGCATGTACCTTTTTATAATGGTTGAAATTTCCTACATGTTAAGTATTTTTCTTTATGGCTTCACATCTTGACGAAACCAAAAATAAATCGGTAATTTTATTCCCACTCCGGAGGCTTACATGTCTTTTAGTTTCTTTACCCCTTCCTACACTTCTAAACATCTAATCCACGTTTCTACGTGCTCCGGTTTATCCTACGAGGCCAGAGATCCTATCGGCGACGCCATATTGTTATAAAGTAAGGTAGCAACGGAGAGTGAGAAGAAAGGACTAAGCATAAACTACAAGAAGACAGAATGCACGCTCATCAATAAGAGCCCGAAATTCGATTTGCAGTTCGGGAACACTAGAATGAAGCAGACGCGGAAGTGTAAATATGTGGGAAGCATCTTGACAGAGGGCGATAAGTGCAACACTGAGATCCGTAGACGTATTGAAATGGCCAAGGAGACATTCCAAAAGCTGGACAGAGTACTGCGAGAAAGGAGTATTTCTTTGGTAACAAAGAAAAGAATACTGAACTGTTACGTAAAATCTGTCATTCTTTACGGCAACGTATGTTGGACGATTTCCTCAAAGACAGAAATTTGATTCAACAAAAGGATGCTACGGGTATTATGGACCGAGTGTGTGAGCAACGATGAGGTCTTAGAGGGTTTGAAGTAGGCTTATACTTAACATCGGGAAAAAGCAGCTGAAGTTTCTGGGACACATAATGAGGAAGGAGGGTCTGGAGAATCTGATACTCACGGGTCGAATAGAGGGAAAGATAGACAAGGGAAAACAATGCTTGACATTCTTGACTTTAGCAACTGAATGACAGAAAGTGGTCTGGGTAAGAAAGCAGAGGGAAGGAACTTGTTGATAGCTACAAAGGACAGAGGGAGGGTGAGAGCCATGATCGCCTACGTCCTGAAAGGATATGGCACATAAAAAGGAAAAAAAGATCTCTTGAATAGACATTGTCAGGTGAGCAGATGGTAGTTCGTCTGGCGTTCGCTTTCGTGTTCAGTTTTTATAGCAGTATCTCATTTACATACAATAACGCAAAAAGAAAAAAGAGAATGAGAAAGAAAGTAACGGATAAGGAAAAAGAAAGAAGGAAAACATAATGAATGAAGAGGAGAAATGGATAGGCATAGATAGATAGACAGATAGATATATAGATAGATAGATAGATAGATAGATAGATAGATAGATAATGAGCAGACTCGGATAGATAGATAGATAGATAGATAGATAGATAGATAGATAGATAGATAGATAGATAGATAGATAATGAGCAGACTCGGATAGATAGATAGATAGATAGATAGATAGATAGATAGATAGATAGATAGATAGATAGATATGTACAGACTGGGATAGAGAGATAGATATGTACAGACTAGGATAGATAGATAGATAGATAGATAGATAGATAGATAGATAGATAGATAGATAGATAGATAGATAGATATGTACAGACTGAGATACAGAGATAGATAGATATGTACAGACTAGGATAGATAGATAGATAGATAGATAGATAGATAGATAGATAGATAGATAGATAGATATGTACAGACTGAGATAGAGATAGATATGTACAGACTAGGGATAGATAGATAGATAGATAGATAGATAGATAGATAGATAGATAGATAGATAGATATGTACAGACTGAGATAGAGAGATAGATAGATATGTACAGACTAGGATAGATAGATAGAGAGATAGATAGATATGTAAAGACTGAGGTAGGTAGATAGATAGATAGATAGATAGATAGATAGATAGATATGTACAGACTGAGATAGATAGATATGTACAGACTAAGATAGATAGATAGATAGATAGATAGATAGATAGATAGATAGATAGATAGATAGATAGATAGATAATGTACAGACTGAGAAAGAGCGATATATTAACAAACAAGGATAGGCAGATAGAGAGAGAGACAAGGATAGATAATGTGTGTGTGTGTGTGTGTGTGTGTGTGTGTGTGTGTGTGTGTGTGTGTGTGTGTGTGTGTGTGTGTGTGTGTGTGAAGAAAAGTATAGAAAGAGAGATAGGGGAGATGAATACACATGAATAGTGAGAGAGAGATAAAGAGAGATGAACAGAAAACGCTGAGAATATAGAGAAAATTCTTTATTGCAACGTATATATGTATTTCGGTGTTAAAATGGATTCTGATATGGAGCCTTTTTTTTATAACAGTCTTAACGATGTTGTTGTCACAGTGTTATTTAGCGTGTTACGGCGGCAGGCTTATCGCGGTAAGGCTCGATGGCGCTCTCGTTCGGCTGACAATAACTCCCCGTTTGAGACAAACTAACCTCACGATCTTTACATAACTTTCAGCTATACTTTTACTTCAGAGAGAAATTTTAAGAATTGAGTGACATGGACGACATGAATTTTTTTCGGAAGAAAGAATTCATAGCCAGAAAGAACGCGAAGGTCTAGAGAAAACCAGTCATGTTATGAATTTTAAAAAAATGCCACGTCCAGATGGAGATAGTGACAATCGCGTACTTTCTCCGTTTGTTCTTGCTACTGTCTCTGATGATCCAGACACAGCACCAGGGTCAGTGGATTGTTGCCGATCTGAGGAACATGCACAACATGATGAAATTAAGTATGTAGTATTAACCAAGAAAGATGTAGGTTGCTTAAATTCTGATATAAATTGCGATAAATCACAATTTTTTGATAATTTACGCGTACAAATGGTGGAGATGGGTGCTAAGGTTTTTCAGAACATAGATATCCCTTTTCAGAGTTAGAGAAGACCGAGAACGTATTGTGAGCCGACATGTCGTAGCGACAACAAAAATGAAAGAAGCACAAAACATGTGGTTGTCAACCGGAGGTTCACGAATTGCTGGCTTCAAAGAAAACTACAAGATGGGTCTATGATTCCGCATAATTGGTTACTGTACTCAAACAAAATGGTGCAGTAGATTGTTTTTGGTGTTTATTGTTTCCAAAAGCCCCAGTCAACGAAATCACGCTATTCGAAAAATCTGGATTTTGAAAATGTAACAAGTGCAACGAAAAAAAAACCCAGAACATTAACAGGGTACTCATCACCGTTGAGACGCATATAAAATGGGTTTACGGTTATCAGAATAGTACTGAAACATATGGAAGAACAGAAGTTTTGGAAGGATCTGCTTAAGCTTTTTTGTTGATTGTATCAAGTTTTGGGCGACTCATAATCTGGCATAATCAAGTAATAATCCCGGTAATTTTCTTGCACTCGTTAAGCTACTTAGCAAGTACGACCCTCTGTTGCAGCGCCACTTGTATTTTGTCAAGATGCATCCACATTCTGCAACATTTTTGTCTAGCAAGATACAGATTTATTCATCTTCAGGTAACAAAGTACATCAGTTTATCCTATAGGGAGTTAAATGAAGCAGATACTATTGGATTATGTCCGACACAATTAATGATGTTTATCTTAACGAACAAATGTCTTAAATTCTCAGGTTTGTCGACAACGAATCTAAAACTGGTGTAGCCAATGTAGTGTTCATTGATTTTATTAAAATTCGTGAAAAAGACGCCGAGAGTGTTACTGAAAAAATTACCTCAAAATTGGAACAACATGGTCTTGATTGAACGACTGTCTTAGACAGACGTATAACAATCCTGCAACAATGGCTGGGATGATGTCCGGTGTCCAGCAATGCATATTATAGAGAAACCAGTAAGAAATGTGAATTGTGACAAACATTTTTTTTTAACCTCGTAGAATTGCATGCAGAATCAGAACTCGTGTTTATTGTATCATTTTTGGGAGTCCTTGATTAAGTTTACAATTTGTTCTCCAGTTCAAAAATGCGGTGCTGTTCACGTTGTAAAAACAAAGCTGGATAATATAGCTAAATTGTTGGAGGATATGGCAAATGACACTACCTCGGTATCAGTTGACACAAGAAGCGACGTCTTTGTTCAGGTGCTTTCAAAGTCGAACTGAACCCTTATTTCGTTCACTTGGGGTAGACTGTTCTAGTTCCACGTGCCATGTCTAATGTATGTCAGTTATCAGTTATCTCCTGTTAATTCCCTTCTCCAAGTTCTCCACAGCCTTAACCAGGTATTGAACTCACACTCTTTAGGTCCTGTTACTTGATCTAACTAACGCCTTTATCCACACATGGCGCAGTTGCAACCCCTCTCACATAGACTGGATGTATTAAGCCTCTCACTGCTCTTCCATAGAAAGTGCACAGCCGAAATTTATTCCTTGATTCCACCAGTTTAAACCTTCCCATCTAAGACCGACCATGTTATTCATATTATAACAAACCACCCTCATTTCCTATGTATTCTATTAGTCAGAAGTTAGTTCCACTCCAACAGCTTCTTCACATGAACCACTGCTCTGTGTAACCGATTCCCGATCGCTACAATCTTAATTTGTTTAGGGATAATCGTTATCTGCCCAAACTACCTGCATAATATCTGCCTTATACTCTGTAACCCTGTACCACGTTGGGTCCCCGGGTCTTCTATAGAGTGAACCCTGATGTAAAAAGAGAGAGAGAAGGAAAACCTATCTTTGCCGAGACATTTCATCCTCTGCTGGACTTTCTCATGACAACAAGTATATCGGCTCGGAATGAGAATTCAGAGAGCAGATTTCAAAACCCAGTCACGTAAGTTACATTCGCGCAAATATCATTGGGAAAGGTAGGAATCCATCAATTCTTCCCCCAGATATGGGTTGAACAGCATCAGAGATTACCTCCTATAGCCTTGACTGGCAACCAGACTACCACAGTAGAAAATTGCAACCTACTCCGGGAAAATCTACTGCCTAGTCAGATATGAATCGAAAGAGACGTGGTCACCCACGAGTATGTCACATATGACACTAAACTGAATGATTTATAAACAAAAATAAAAATGTCGTTAGATTTTCAGAATCTTTCTGTACGTATTGTATACCAAAAATCTACAACAAACACCGGTAGGTACACGTATATTTTATGGGTATAAATTTAAAATTTAAATTTAAAATTTGTCAGGTCTATTGATAGAAACATTAAAGTCAGCATCAATTCCTATAAAATATTAATACCGTAGATTAAACATCATACCAGATTGTTTCATAATATTACTGCCACGTATTGTATGTTATTGTAAAACACAGTTTCACTCATCAGCCATTTGCAATAGTGATGTAAAAAACAAACAGTGACGACGCCATTTAGTGTATCAGCGGTTGGACGCGATGTGGGCCGTAATGTTAATTGAATAATGAATTTGTGTTACTATTTTATTAATTTATGTCTTAATAAGCCAAATATGTTCACTAATCTCTTCTTCTAGTGAGATATCCGTGTGGCAGTTTTCTGGAAGTACGGTAAGTGATGTACAGTAATGGTTAAGAGTGTTCTCACACTTGTTTACAACTCCGGGGTAAAGGCTTGCACATTATACCCGCCATATAAATCTACACCTAGCTTTTGAAAAAAATTGAGATTATCTTAGATATTTATAATTTGAATATTGCTATATCTGGTCTGGTGCTTCTTCTGATGTTTAAAGATTCTTGATAAAATTCAAATAAGAAGCTACAATATTATTGGCCCTCACCTGGCATACCGAGGTCAGTCCCTTTCGCACCGCTGTAATGCAACCTCCCCAAGCGTTTTCAATAAATGGTAAATGCATTGATGAACTTTTCTTCTGATACCTCGACCGTATGAATTTAAACGCAGTGCTATTTGGGCGGGAAACGTCATCATTTTTACAATTGAAATGACTAGAGATAACAGCAAGTTCTCTGCTCTTTTTTTCTTCACTGCACTTCTCGCTTGTGGAATTTCTTTCCGGCTTCTTGCTTTCAGTCAAATTTGAACTCCAAGAATTTAAGTTGTCAATCGTTACCTTCTTCTTAATTCCATTTCTTTTATTGTTCTCTACTCATTAATAGTATATTTTCTCATATTCTCTCACACTCAGCAATCCCTTGCGTCTTAGAGGCTTTATTGCCTTGCTTGAGGTGAAATGATTTTTAAAAGCGTTAACCGATATAAACTATAAACTATGTTTAATGTCAATCTGGGGAAACAGGGTGGAACAGGCAACAATGTTTTTGGTCCTTACCTGGTATCTCGGCGCCAGGGACTTTCTCACCGCCGTATTGTGGTTTCCTTGTGTTTTTTTTTTCTGTAAATAATTTCATGGTAATTGTTCTGATGAACTTTTCTCTATGATATCTAGACCGCATGAATTTAAGCGCAGTACTAGATTGGCGGCGCGGTCTCATCATTTTACATTTCAAATGGTTAGAGGTAACCGTAAGTTCTATGCTAACAGTTTCTTCTCCCGCTCTTCTCGCATGTGGAAGTCACTTCCGGTTTGCTGCTCCCCAGTCAACTTTGAACTTCTAAAATTTAAATGCAATGTCGATCGTTATCTTCTGTCTTCTTAATTCTTGTTCTTTTATTTTCGTCTCCACTTTGATAGCATTTTCTCCTACTCTCTAACACAATGGCACCTTATGCCTTAATGGCTTTACTGCCTTGCTTGGGGTGAATTGACTATTAAAAAGAATTCACTGATTCAGGCTGTGAAAAAATGGTTAATACCAACTTGCAAAAAAATGTGGAACTATTAGCAAATGATCCACACTGGCGCCAAAAAAATTTGGCTGCTTGAATTCTTCTCGAACATGAAAGACAGAGATACGTGCAATACGTACATTAAAGACTGACCTATACTTTGTGTACATCCATAAGCGTTAGGCTACTAGGTTCTTGTCTAACAATTTTCCTATCTCACAATTGACGACTATGGAACTCTCTCCCGACCTCTTACATAATAGCCAACTTTGACCTTCAAAAATTTAATGTCAATTGTTATGTCTTCTTGATTCCTCTTCTTTTATTGTTATCTTAACAATGTTTTCTTATTCTTTTAGACTCAGTAAACACTTGTATTTTAGTGGCGTTATTACCTTACTTGGGGTGAAATTATTTAAAAAATGCTGTGTTGAACAAAATCGACAATGGTCTATACAATAGCACCGCGAAATGCTATTCATTCAATGGACTTGTCTCAAAAAATCACTTTGATTTATTCTTTCAAATTTCCCTAGTTATGGATCATCGCAGATAATGGATCATGTCTGTCTCTCTTAGAGAACCTGTGTCAAACGGTTTTGCTTTAGTGATCGCGGCTTCGTTAAATGCAACGGCTAATGAACAATGTGATGCAGAAGAGATCACTGCAGTGCCTGCTTGAATCACTGCAATGACGAGTTAACATTTACACGTAGATAGTTTTCCTGTTAGTTGTTGTGATCGCAACGTTGCAATCGTTCTGCTCTCCGGCCTGCATCAAATGATTGTCTATGCGTTTAACCACCAGGTAATTTCTAAATCCTTTATTTAATAAATGGGACGAGATTATTTCATTCCGTTGTCCATGTCCAAGAAGATCTTGTGGGGTACCATGTCGGTTGAATTTATGTACAGAGTGGTAAAAAATTAGGCATACAGTAAAATAACCGATAAAATGGTTTAAGTCCAACAACTATGTAATACATTTTCTGCTTATACGTTATGTTTAATAGATACAAATTGTTTAAGCAAATGCTCTGTTTTTTTTTTGTTTTTTTTTTCAGGTTTTTTTTTATTATTTTTTGGTTATTTTTTTTTGGAGGGGGGTTCTTTTAAATAAATAGTATTAATGATATTTACCGGGCCTGAATGTAAGAGAAATTTAGTAGAAAATATGCGTTCTCCGACAGAAATCAAACCTGCGTCCTATACTATATTATCCGACTTAATCCATTTAATAATATGTTGTCGATGTTTATGTTAAGGTACGTTTC